AGCTTTATTTTGCCCCGCGAGAAGAAATTATATACACGTCGTCAGTCAGTCAGGGGAAAATTTAATTTTTTCGAATCGGCATTTTTTTTTTTTTTTTTTTAGTTGACATATGGCAATTTAAAATTGAAAGTGTTTTCTCTCTCTCTCTCTCTCTCTCTCTCTCTCTCTCTCTTCCTTCGCATTAAATTAGAATTTTAAGAATTTTTTTATTTTCATTTGAAATCCCCCAAATCGTTCTCTCTCTCTCTCTCTCTTTCCGTCGAAATTGATTTACGTCGAAAAAAAAGAAAGGAAAGTTTAAATGACTAAATGATAAACGTGGGATTCCCCGAATATTGAATAATCCCTTTTAAAATAGTTTCCCCTTCCCCTACCGCCCCGGCAGGGAGGTGGTAGGGTAGTAGGTCGATAGGTGTGTGGGCAGGGGACGGGGAGGGGTTTTCCCCATATGTCAAATAACGTCGTGATTGTATTGTCGACTCTCGATGGCTTTGACAACAACAAAGAAATTCGGTTTATACATTCGTAACTTTTTGGTAATTTTGTTTTTTGGGGTAACTCCACCCCCCCCCTTCCTCCGCTCCGCCCTCGCGTGTTTTTGTTGCAACCCTTAAAATTTTTTTTGAATCATGATTTTTCCGAGAATTTTTCTTTTGCGATGACTGATCGTCACCTTTACCGAAAAAATTTGGAATTATTCGTAATTTTTGCATTGAAAATACCTATTATTATTATTATTATTATTATTATTATTATTAATAGCATGCCTGAATCGAACCTTTTTTGATCGTTGAGGTCACACGTTGTTTTGTTAATAATTTTTTTTATTTTTTTATTTTCAGTACTCGGGCATTAAAATCGGTCCCGTTGTAAAGAAGGATGTAATGAAAGCGTCAATTATGTTAGAACACGAAAGCCAGTGAGTTGAATTATTATTATCATTATTATTATCATCATCATCATCATCATCATCATCATCGTTTGTTTGTTTGTGTCGTTTGTTGCTGTGTTTGTTTTTTTTTTTTTTTTTGAACGAGTCAATTAATGAATATTTTTTGGAATTTTAATTTTCATTTCGTGATTTGTGTGTTTTTTTTTTTTTTTTTTTTTTTTTTCAGGTACGCGACAATATTGGCTTTCGATGTGAAAATCGAGAGAGACGCTCAAGAACTCGCGGATTCACTAGGAGTTAAAATATTTCAAGCCGATATAATTTACCATTTGTTCGACAAGTTCATGGCGTACAGGGAAGAGCTCAAGCAGAAAAAACGTGACGAATT